TAAACAATGCTCTGCTGTTATACTCAGCTGGCTAGGCAATCTAGCAGGGCATTCTTAATATATTGTTAAAATACTCTGCTTGAATACTCAGCTGGCTAGGCAATCTAGCAGGGCATTACAAAATAAAGTGTAAGAAAATTTTGCTGGAATGCTCAGCTGGCTAGGCAATCTAGCAGTACAGCCTTTATACACTTAACAAAAGTTCTAACCGATCTTTTTTTAAATTTTGATTACTTTATGACGGGTCAATAGATCCTTATAAAATTTTGCAGAGCTGATTTTTGTGTCATTATCTACCGATTTATGGAAAGAAAAATAATTTAATACGGTTCCATGCACTCACGCGGGAGACAGGGCGCGGTTTACACATTTTGGCACGAAATGTTCGTGCAGAGCTCGGTGACTATTTTTTTAAAATATCGATAAAGTATTATTTAAATAGAAAATGTTATAATTTTATTATTCTCAAAGTGTTTATTCTCTTCGAAATAAAATAAAAGTCGGATCTGTTGGTATTATTCTTTTTCATATATAGGCGAAAACTCAGGGTGATCGGTTAGAACTTTTGTTCAGTGTATAGTGTAAAAAAGCTCTGCTGGAATGCTCAGGTGGCTAAGCAATCTATTTGGGCATTCCTAAATATAGTGTTAAATACTAAGCTGTAATACTTAGCTGTCTAGGCAATCTAGCAGGGCATACCTTAAAATAGTTTAAAAATGCTCTGCTGAGATGATAAGCTGGCTATGGAATTTCGCCGGGCATTCCGAAATATAGTGTAAAAAGCGCTACTGGAACGCTCAGCTGGCAGAATGATTCTAGAACACTCGCAGAGTTCCAGGATTTATTGTTGCCAATGTTGTATTGACATTTTCGACTTCTAGGCACGTCTGAGGCACTCGCAGAATTTCAGGAATTTTTTGTGCCGATAAAAATAATGGTCTTTTGACTCATCTTAAAGAGTGTATTTCATTGGCATGCGACTTCTTGTTGGACCCTCGCAGACTGTCAGAAATTTTGGTTCCAATGCAGATAATGACAATTAAAACTTCTCGGGACAGTAAAAAGTCCACTTCTTTGGTCTGAGACTGATTTTGGGACACTTGTACACTTTCAGGAATTTTGGTGCCAAAGGAAATAATGAAATCTTTGACATTCATGGACCTTAAAGAGGCCATTTGCTTGGCCTGCGACTTATTGTTTGACACTCGCAGACTTTCAGGACTTTGGTGCCAATGGCGATAATTGCATTTTTTACCTTTAGGGACCTGTCAGTGTCCATTTTTCTGGTCTGAGACTGATTCTTGGACACTCGCAGACCTTCAGGAATTGTTGGTGCCAATGGAGATAAATGACATTTTTGTTTTCTAGGGACCCGCCAGAGTCAATTTGTTTGGTATTCGACTGATTCTGGGACACTCACCGACATTCAGGATTTTTTAGTGCCATTGCAGATTATGACATTTTCAATTTTTAAGGACCCCCTCCCGAGTACATTTTCGAATTAGCAGAAAATTTTAACTCTAAAATGTCATAATCAACATTAGCACCAAAAATTCTTGAAAGTCTGCAAGTGCCAAATAATCAGTCGCAGACCAACTAAATGGACTCTGAATGTTCACAAGATGTCAGAAATGTAATTATCTCCATTGGCACCAACAATTCCTGAAAGATTGCGAGTGTCCAAGAGTAAGTCGCAGACAACGGAAATGAACTCTTGGTGGTCCATATAAGTCAAAACTAACATTATTTGCTTTGACATCAAAAATTTCATTAAGTGCCACAAAATCAGTCGCAGACCAACATAATGTACCCAGGAGTGTCCTTAGAAGTCAGAAATGTCATTATCTGCATTTACACCAAAATTCCTGAAAGTCTTCGAGTGACTAAGAATCAGTCACAGACCAACGAAATGGACTCAGGAGGGTCCTTGAAATTAAAAAAACGCCTCCGTGGTCGAGGGGTTAGAGTCGATGACTTCTAATCCAGTTACTTCTCTGGCGTGGGTTCGATCCACGAGAGATGCTTTGGTAGTTTAGTGCGGAGGAAGGTAGTCTAGTACTGGTGTAACTCTCCAGGAACGATGGTTAGGAAACTACCCACCTATATGACTGAAAAACTGTTGGGAAAAGGCGTAAAGTGAAACAAACAAACAAACAAATGAAAATAAAAAATGTCATTCACCTCATTGGCACCGAAAATTCCTGAAAGTCTGCAAGTGTCCCAAAATTAGTCGCAGACTAAAGAAATGGATTCTTGATGGACCCTAGAATTTAAAAAAAATGCCATTGGCACTTAATATTCATGAAAAACTACGAGTGTTACCAACTTCTGAGGGTTGCTAGAACCCGAAATAGGTAATTAATCCATTTGTACCCACATCCTGGAGGTCTTCGAGGATGTCAGTCACGGCCACAGACGCAGACCAGAAAAATAGATATCGCAACAAAAATAACATTATGATTATAAAAGGATGCATAAGGAGTTAAAGAGGAAGAATATTTATTCTGTATCTAAAAATGCTCTTCCCGATTGCTGTGCCAGTTCGGCATTTCAGTAGAACATTTTTTACTTTATTTAAGAATGCCCTGCTAGTTTTCCTAACCAGCTCAGCAATCCAGCAGAGAATTTTTACACTAAATTTCTGAATGCTCTGCTAAATTATCTAGCCAGCTGAGCATTTTTCACACTATAAATTAGTAATGTCCTGCTAGATTCCCTAGCTAGCTGAGCAATCCAGCAGATATTTTTTTACAATATATTTTAGAATGCTCTGCTCGATTGCTCTGCCAGTTATCACACTATTGAAAACTTGTTTAATTGGTCAACCGAGCAGAGCATTTTTGCATTATATTATGGATTGGTAAAGATATATTGCCTAGTCAGCTGAGCATTTTGAAATGTTCTGCTATATTTCCAAAACAGCTGAGTATTCCAGCAGAGCATTTTACTCTATATTTTCGATTGTCATGCTATATTGCCAAAACAGCTGAGTATTCCAGCAGAACATTTTACTCTATATTTTGAATTGTCATGCTATATTGCCAAAACAGCTGAGTATTCCAGCAGAGCATTTTTACTCTATATTTTGGAATGTCATGCTATATTGCCAAAACAGCTGAGTATTCCAGCAGAGCATTTTTCCTCTATATTTTGGAATGTCCTGCTATATTTCCAAAACAGCTGAGTATTCCAGCCGAGCATTTTTATTTTACATTTTGGATTGTCCTGCTATATTTCCAAAACAGCTGAGTATTCCAGCAGAGCATTTTTCCTCTATATTTTGGAATGTCATGCTATATTGCCAAAACAGCTGAGTATTACAGCAGAGCATTTTTACTCTATATTTGGAATGTCCTGCTATATTGCCAAAACAGCTGAGTATTCCATACAGCATTTTACTCTATATTTTGGAATGTAATGCTATATTGCCAAAACAGCTGAGTATTCCAGCAGAGCATTTTTACTCTATACCGGTATTTTGGAATGTCATGCTATGTTGCCAAAACAGCTGAGTATTCCACAGAGCATTTTTACTCTATTTTTTGGAATGTCATGCTGTATTGCCAAAACAGTTGAGTATTCCAGCAGAGTATTTTTACTCCATATTTTGGAATGTCCTGCTAAATTGCCAAAACAGCTGAGTATTCCAGCAGAGCATTTAAACTCTATATTTTGGAATGTCATGCTATATTTCCAAAACAGCTGAGTATTCCAGCAGAGCATTTTTACTCTATATTTTGGAATGTCATGCTATATTGCCAAAACAGCTGAGTATTCCAGCAGAGCATTTTTACTCTATATTTTGGAATGTCATGCTATATTGCCAAAACAGCTGAGTATTCCAGCAGAGCATTTTTACTCTATATTTTGGAATGTCATGCTATATTTCCAAAACAGCTGAGTATTCCAGCAGAGCATTTTTATTCTATATTTTGGAATGTCATGCTATATTTCCAAAACAGCTGAGTATTCCAGCAGAGCATTTTTAATCTATATTTTTAAATGTCATACTATATTGCCAAAACAGCTTAGTATTCCAGCAGATCATTTTTACTCTATATTTTGGAATGTCATGCTGGATTTCCAAAACAGCTGAGTATTCAAGCAGAGCATTTTTACTCTATATTTTAGATTGTCATGCTATATTGCTTAGCCAACTGAGCGTTCTCGTAGAGCATTTTTATTCTTTATTTTGGAATGCCACCCCCTCCCTTCATATTTTCTAGCCAGGTGAGTATTCCAGCACAGCATTTTTACTCTATATTAAGGAACGCCCTGCTATATTGCCTAGCCAGCTGAGCATTTTTCAGACAATAATTCAGGAATGCCCTGCTAAATTGCCTGTCAGTTCAGTTCTGAATTCATTGAACGAGTTGATAGAATTATAATGTTCAAACTTCTGGCAAGCGAAGTATTAATTATTCAATGAGTTCAAGAAATTCAATAGTGAACCTAAACGAATATAACATTCTATTTATCACATACTCAGATGAAAAAGACTGATTGAAGTAAAGAAGTGACATTTTTCAATGACGCGCCAATGTCTTTACGCTGTTTTTGACGTCTGTCAAAATTAATTCACATAATAAAAACATTGCACATTTATAACGCCGATGTTCATTGGATAATGTATTCATTTATATGATTTATATACACAGGTGGTTTAAATTTATGAAGTAACTTTATTTTCCCTTGAAGAAAGGAATCATGCTGTTATTATAAATTATTTCACGATATGTTTTATAGCATGATAGGTTATATCCTACACTAGCGGCTTGTGTTTAAACTGTCTTTAATCTACAAAATAAAAAATATAAAAAAAAAATTAGACGGTCAATACTTTTTTACGTGTATCAAGATGTAAAGAATCATCAGAACGCATTCTATGCCGGATATCTCGATAGAATTCGAGGGCTTCTCCAGAAAGGAAAGCTACACATGTCATATTCTAACATGAAAACACATACACAGTTGATTTAAAACAAAAGAAATAACACTACCTGACTGGAATCATGGCAAAGTCCAGATGAAAACAAACAACTCGTACTTTAACGTATACACTTGGAACAATATGCGGAAAACTTTATTTGTATTGAAATGAGTAAATTACATTGTATGCATCGTGGTTACGCAGTTTAATAAACTTTTACGTCCTCTATTTAAAAGACAAGTATTTTAGTATTACATCACGTGACATAAAACCCTGCGTTTGATCACGTAACAAAAAAAATCAATTTCAAATAGTCTGATTCGTCTATTGTACTCTTCATCAATAATTTACAAGATTTTAATGAACCGTTATCTCTGACAATTTACAGTAAAAATACTTAGCCTGTTATAAAGCTATAATTCATTTTTGTCCTGAAATAATTGAGGGTCATGAATTAAAGTTTCAATGACGTTTGATATTATTAACCCTCATTTTTTTTGTAATGTTAATTTCCCATAGGCCTCTTGGAGTTATTCTTACTGTTAATGCAAGTGTACCACGGGACTAAGAATTTTGTTCTGTTGCATAGCTAACAGTATTTTTAACAGTATAAAATCTGGTCCCGTGGTCTTTTTCCTAAATAAGATAAAATGAAATGGCCGCAATGTTTTCTCGATTCATTCTTATTTTCGACGATAGGGCATCGCCGAAGTAACTATGACTCTCATAAAATTTAGTTCTTTGCACCCTAGAGTTCTTTTCGCGTATAAAATATCTTTTTGTTGAATAATCAAAAACGAAAGTATTTGTAATGTGGATAGTTTTGTGTCAAACTGGAACATGCAGACGATTAAAGCATGCAACAAAGGATCATTTAACAATTTTAACAAGTGAAACGTTACAGATAGAGTTGATAGACAGACATCTGTAGAAAATCATCGTTAGGATACACTTTGTCAAAAACCATGCGAAGAATATTCTGGATACAGGATCAGATTTCACAGATCATAAACTTTATAAACGGGTTCTTGTTTTGTTTTCTAAATAAAACACAGTTTATTGTATGTTTATGACTGGCAGATAAAAGAATAAAAGAAAAACAGCATCTCAAGTAGGCCTACTGTACACTTAAAACTTGCTAGGTAAGGACAGTTTAGTTATTGCTTCTCTTTGTTTATTTTTGTTACATTTAGATTAAGTTGACAAATTCAGATCATCACAGTACATGTATTTGTTCGGCGTAATGAAATGAATAACACATGGGTTTGTGGGTAACAGGAGAAATATCACCCCTCGTAAAATACTGTTACCCGAGGCGTTACAGTACTTTCCTCGGGATGATATTCTTACTGTTACCCACAAACCTTTGTGTTATTCATTTATACATGTACTAGTATTTAAACGCTAGTGTTTTGTTGCTGTTGTTTTAATTTGAACTAAAATAATCTATTTCGGCCGTTTTCTTCCTAATATCAACAATATACACATATAAACCAACTAATAAATAGTCGGAACCCCTAGCATGTCACCAGATTAGGTTCTGCATAATGTAGCCTATAACTCACAGAAACAACTCAGAATTACTCAGTTGGCGACATTTGAGTTCAAATGACCACAAAATCAGAATATAACAGCAGACACACATACCCTTTAATACCAAAAACCCAGAGTGAAATTTCAAATTCTTGAATTCTTGGGTTGATCTTCACGAATTCACAATTTCTACTTCATGATATCACGATTTCAATTAGTCGAATACACGATTTGAACTTCACGAATTCAAGATTTCAACTATTTGACGATTTCAACATCATGAATTCACGGTTTCGACTTCATGAATTCCCGTGTGATTAAAATAATAAGTTCTGTATCTAAACTTATTGCTTTTCCAAAGACACTTCTGAGCATATATATTTCAATTAAAAAGCATTGATTTGTGCCTTTCAGTTACAAAAATGTCACAGTGATAATGATCTAGTAAATCAAGGGAATGGCGAAGACTATAAGGCTAGGATAGATGATTGAACAACGCTAGCGCAAGCGTATGTTGCAGTATTTTGAATGAAACCCTGATAACATGCAACCCTTACATCAAGAACCCCTGATAACATGCAACTTACATCGAGAACACCTGATTACATGCACCCCTTACATCAAGAACCCCAGATAACATGCATCCCTTACATCAAACCCCCTGGTAACATGTAACCCTTACATCAAAAACCCCGTACATGTAACCCTTACATCAAGAACCACTGATATCATGCACCCCTCACATCAAGAACCCCTGATAACATGTAACCCTTACATCAAGAACCCCTGATAACATGTAACCCTTATTTTAAGAACCCATAAAAAACATGCACCCCTTACATCAAGAATTCCTGATAACATGCATCCCTTACATCAAGAACACCAAATAACATGAAAACCTTACACCACGAACCCCTGATAACATGCACCCCTTACATCTAGAACCCCTGATAACATGCACCCTATATATTAAGAATCCCTGATTACATGTACCCTTTTAATTTAGTTTTATTCTCATAAACTTTAACCTGGAAGTATCGGAGCATTACTGGGGCGTCACCGGGACAGTACCGGCATCATCCGTAGCTTCGCCGTGGCACCCCTTAAATCAGGCGATGAGTCCCTTACATCAAGGATAGCCCGTGATTCATAAAAGAAACCCCTTACATAAAGAACCCCTGATGACATGCACCCCTTATATCAAGAATCCCTGATTACATGCACCCCTTTAATTTAAACCGGGAAGTATCGGCGCATTACCGGGGTGTCATCGGGACAGTACCGGCATCACCCGTAGCTTCACCGTGGCGAAAATGGTCGGGATAGACCGTGATGAAGCCGTGTCTAGTCGGGTCTCCACCGGGATCAACCGGGACTACACCGGGTTAGCATCAGCACTTACCGTATGTATCCGGTGCTATATCGGGTATTGAACCGGGAATATACCTGGGCTCTGTCGGGGGGGTGTAAATGCAATTTGATTTTTTCAGAAAAACACCACGGAACACTCCGGTTCACCTATGTTCATCAAGTGTTGACCTAGGTTTTGTTAAGATGACCTATATACAAATCATTTAAGATTTAATTAAGATACTTATTCATACAATGTTTGATTTAAGACCAAATAATTAATATAACCTATAGATTTTTAACGAGGGTTATCTTTTATTTGACCTAGTGACCTAGTTTTTCAAAAAAGACCCATATTCAAACTCATCCGAGGGACCACTTAAATAATCATTTGCATACAAAATTCGATAAAGATTCAATTTAAACTGTAACCTCTAGAGTGTTAATTGTTGACGTCTGACGACGAACGCCGTATCAACTGACATATTCTAAAGGCTAAATAATCAGATGAACTAAAAAAAGTGCACTTATAGTTGAAGTACAAAACAATTCTTTGGAAAATATGTGAGATTGAGAATGTTGCTGTAATTGTAGTCACAGTATATACGAGGTATTTTATCATTCACAAGAGAGTGGAGGAAGTAAACATGAAACATATACTTGTACATATAATAGTAATATTGATAGGGAAGTTATCCATATTAGATGTTGTAATCGACTCTTTCGAAAAAATAATTACAGAAATAAACAACGCAATAACACGCCTGTGTCGCAACTAGTAACTTTTTTTGTAATCGATTCACTAGTTTTTTTTAAGTCAGTTTAAGACGGTTTCACTTATTGATCAACTCGTTAAGACATCATAGTTTTCAAACATTAAATAACAATTTATTTAATCAACCAAGTGAAAGCATAGGAAAACATTTTAACATTTGCAAATGAAATATAACAAATCAAGTTTAATTAAAAAATAACTTGAAAAAATGATGCTTGGAAACGGTTGTTTACACTCTAAATATTATATACTCGGTAACTTATTTCTCTACATTTTGTTTTGTTCTATATAAACAATGACACATTTGTATTAAAATAGTGAAACATATCATCTTTAAATGAAATAGATGACTCATCATGGCAGTAACTCATATACAGTAAACTCCTCTTATAAAGAACTCATAGGGACATTCAAAATCTGTTCCTTATATCCGGAGTTCCTTGTAAGCATATAGCGAATTAGTTCCTTGTATCAAGAGTTTTATAGCGAACAGATTTACATAAAGCGAACTGATTGTTTACCATCGTCCTCCTTTGATTAAGAAAAATAACTCATTGGCTCGTAATTTTTGTCTCCCTTCTTACATTGATTCAAATATAAAAATTCAATATTTTGCGAGGTCATAAGCTTTTTTTGGAAGAAAAATACAGCTGATTGGCATACTACAGGCTATAGCATCTTAAAACCACTCATAAAGTGCCTGCCTAGTCAACATGATCGTATTTTCCGGAACGGTGTCTCTCCATGTTGACGTTTGATACTCCTGTATAGAAAGCGTACTTTTTGGACTTTGACCATGTTGTTAATCCTTTGCTATTTTAGTTTTAGTTTTACTCCATTTCTCAATTTCTTCTAAAATATCATATTTTTGTTCCTAAAACTCAACGCATTTTGAGTCTTTCCAAGATTTTCGATTTCCTTTCCTTTTATAACGAATATCTTCTATTATATTTTAAAGGCGACTTTTACTTATGAAATAAATAGATTTCTTTTTATTTCAATCAAGCGTTCTTTGTATATTTTAATGAATTTTACTCAAGAAATAGCATGTGTAATTAAATTGAAACCCGATTATAAGTGGTCAAAATAGAATTACTCCGGAATAAAGAATATTTTGTTTTTTTCCCAGCTAATCTGTAGGTACAAACACACTTTTTACAGTTAAAGTTTAGAGGTTGACTTATCTAAACTCACAATTGCCGAGTTCTTGATAACGTCTATTATTTTCCTGGAGCAAGACTATTAAAGAAAAGAAAAAGTGGAATAAAATGAATAATCGTTTTATCTTGGTGACAATAACTCATGGTATAAATATCCTAAATAGAAAACTAAATATTACGTACTGCTATACAAATTCATTTTCATATATTTGAAGTACATACATACAACAATAAACGGTACATTCGGCCGATGAAAAACGAAGATCTATTTATGGATAGCCAATATTTAGGAGTTCGTTAGAAAAGTATAATTTTCTGTTGTTTTTTTAACTTAATTCGGATTCCTTATTTTGGAGTTCCTTTTAAAAGTGTAAATTTCAGTACTTTAACTT